GTCAGTATATCCTTCTTGTTTATATAATGTCCTCCTTTTGACGCGAAACAACTGTTTAAAAAACACTATGTCAATACATCTTAGAAGTAGTTGTTTTCTCTGTTACCATGACGTTTGTCATTCGACATATGTAAACTTCAATGTGTGTGTGTTAATTCTTTTTTCCCCGCTGATTTATGTTAGCAGCCTATTCAACTGGTTTGAACAAGTGAACTCACTAACGGAGAAATAATATGTTGGTTTGTTAATAGCCAGTCAGGGTGTACGTAAATGACTAAATATATAATTAAAAACGTTTAAGTTGCTGACGTTTTTAGCCCATTAGCCAAGTAGTTCTCCGTCATTTGTTCAGGGTGAAAAAAGAATGGAATGTTATTGAACAACCACTTGTGACAGAGTAAGTCACACATTTGTTGTATGAGGGAGCTAGTGATACATAACTGCCTGTCAAACACCTGGATAGGTGGAGTGGGGCTGGAACCCGTGACTCAGTGGTTTGCAGTCGAGCCTGGTAGTAGACCAGTGGCCACCACAGTTCTACAGTAATTCATTTGTTATGTGTGTTTTTCAGTTAAATTTTTAATTCTTACCCTTAGGAAATACTAAGGGTACTAATAGTTCTAAAATGTTTATTCTGTCGGGATTTTTAAATATTAGTATTAAAATCATTTGGGTATATATTTTACCCTTCTTCACTGTCATTTAAGTAGTATGTATTCAGTCCGTTTGATTAGTGAAAAGTAGAGGAGTTTAAAAAGTGTCAGTTGATTTACTTCTAGCATTACACCACTACATATAACAGGGTCAGCGTATATTATACAGCAGAAAGTTTCATTTTAATATCCAATTACTTCGTTACAATTCAATCTGTCACGTTAAGGTCCTATCTACAAACATTATTGGATTCTGGTCTTAACCAGCATATGTTGATGTGTGCATTTTATGACCAGAAAAGGTAAGCAACATCTCTCAAAAAATCAACCATGAATCTATTGCCCAACAAATCTACAGAACGAAACGGAAAATGGATTGAACGTACGCGGAGGGAAGACCTTTGAATAACATTATGCTCCAGACGCGTTCGAGTGGAACCTGAGTGAGAAACAACGAATTGGGTGTGAGTCAGAGGGTGATATATAGGAGATCCTGTTGTGTGTTTGGAGGGGCGGGGGGGGGGAGAAACGCAGACTCTATGGGCAATTGTGGAACCAGTTAAAAACAAGTTCAGAGAATAGAGTGAAATGGAAGTGTGCTACAGAACCCAAGGAGAAATAATATAATGAATCAGTTCATTTCTTTTTCTTTTGGATATGTGACCGTATTTTCCATCGATAATAGGCGTCGAGTGTCTCTTTAAAGTAGTAGTATGATGAATAAGTCGTGCTTCTAATTTAATTATGATTAATTGGAATTAACAAGTTGTAAAATGTCAGGTTTCCTCAATGGTTTGAATTGTAGAAGTTAAAGTAATTGAACTCTCTTCATATTAGCCATACTCTGATGACGAAAAGCATTCATTTGTATAAAATTTGTCTTAGTTGTAATTCTTAGCAAGTTTAAAAAAAATAGAAATTTACATTTTATTTTTCAGAGGGACAGCTTTTAAAGAAGGTGTAATGACCTATCCAGATTTCGTTTGGTTTCTACTGGCTGAAGAAGATAAACGTCATCCTAGAAGGTAATTATGTAACTGTTGTCGTTTGATTTTTATTATCCTAGAAAACTTTCTATGTTCATATTTTATTTGTAGTCTTCCTTTAGAAGATTTGGTTTTTTTTACAACTGGTAGCTTAAATTCTAGTACAGAAGATAGTGAATTGATTTTCACGAATCAGTAGGTATTTAATTAGCTTCAAGTTCGTTCACGGATTAGTGTCTATTAGAGAATCATTGAAAACCAGGGTGTACTGACCAGTTGTTTCGTCCTCTAATTTTGGACTCTTCGGTAGTACGCACCCACTACCGCACCGGGGATTGAACCTGGAACCTTAAGGTTACGAGACCAAATTTGTTGACCATTCAACTGACATCAATCCGTGGTCAAACTGGAAACAAATCAAAACCTTTGGAAATTGATCTGATGCCCAATAATGACTGACTGCAGAAGAAGAGGAAGTTAGTTGTCTAGAGTTCTGGTGAAAAGTCGTGACCAGTGCAGTTCACCAGGTCGGGTGTGGGAACAAATACTCCCTGATGATACTGGCTGGTGGTTGCGTTGCGATGGCAGACTGATAGATGTGAGAATTCATCATCTGGCCATTGGATTCTAGCTCAAGTGCTTGAATAGTCAATAGTCTCTCTCACCTTGTAACCTGAATGTTCTGCGTTCGATCCTTGATGCGTGATGATGGGTGCATAACACTGAAGATTATTAACCAAGCTAGGGGAAAACTGCTGTCCAGTACTCCCTGGTTTTCAATGATTTTGTAACCCATGTCAATCTGTGACCAAGCAGAGTTGAATTGACTGTCCAATAAATGTATGAGTGCTGCAAAACATTCTAGTGGTAGTAGTAGTTTTTATTTCTATTTCGATTTCAGCTTGATTCCACACCGTACTTTTTGGTACAGGTATGGAATTTTCAGCATGTGATATCGGTAGCCCAAATTTTGCAGGCCGACCATAGATATCAGGTGTGCGCCGGCAGGAGATCGAACCCCGGACCATGTGCATGGTCGGCGAGAGTCCTAACCACTGTGCCACCGACGCACAGTGTTCGAAGCATCATTCATTAAAAATCCTGTAACCAATCTACCACATCTCTACAAATGAATACTTGAGTATCAATGAGATGCTCACTAGCAACTTGCCCTACTCAGGTAGGTAGTTACCTGGGGTTCTAGTGAGAAGTCGTGACCAGTAGGGTGCAGCAAGTCGGGTGTGGGGACAAATACTCGCCGAAAGACATTGGCTAGGGGTCGCGCTATGTCGTGAATTGGAAGAAGTTAGAACTCATGGGCTGTCCATTGGATCGGGTCCCAGTGACTTAGTGGTCTACGAGCTAGCTTGCCTTGTAACCAGAAGGTTCGGGGTTCGAAACCCGGTGGGTGGGCGCGTACTGATGTAGAGTCCCAAACGAGGGCGAAACAGCTGTCCAGTACTTCCAGGTTTTCCTATAGTTCTCTAATCAATGTCAACTCATGATGAAATCTTGTAACCAAAAATCCTTTTACATTGTATGATGATATCCAACAAATATATGAATATGGATATTATCAGTATAACTTCTTAATCAATTGAAAAATAATGTTATGACTTATACATACTTCATTTATTGGCTAGTAACTCTTGTAACAAATTTCTGAAGCATAGTAAGAAATATAACTTGATGTCTTATGAGTAGTGAAAATTGGAGCTAATGTTTTGTTCCATTTGTTGAAGACACCTATGAGAGTCCCAGTCTGATAGATGTTATTTTTTCACTACTTTTGTATATTTCTCATTAATACTATAGACTAGGGTTAAGTTCTATCTCATTTTTATTCTGAGTTAACGGTTTTCTTATTAACACTTGAAAAAGCGTGTGTCCAATCCTAACACTCAGTACTATTATGAACCTACATAGTCTTGGATATTCAGAGGTTGTTTAGAGGTAAAGCCAGACGTAATAAAATAATTCTTTATGTAACTGTGTTGTATCATTGTTAAATTTATATTTTTACAATTTTACAATTTCAGCATTGAATACTGGTTTCGATGTATGGATTTAGACGGCGATGGTGTCCTGTCAATGTATGAATTAGAATATTTCTATTCAGAACAATTGGCTCGTATGGAAGAAATGGGTATTGAACCGATATCATTTGAAGATTGTTTATGCCAATGCTTGGATATGGTGAAACCAGTTCTTGGTGATAAAATTCGTCTATCTGATATGAAACAATGCCGGTTATGTCATATCTTTTTTGATACATTCTTTAATTTACCTAAATATTTACAACATGAACAACGTGATCCATTTGCTAATTTAAGAGTAAGTCTTTATAAGCGAGTATATTTACTTGTGTTCTTTTTAAAAAAAAATTTATTCCACTTATATGATCAAAGATCTCTTGGTCATTAAGTTAGGTTGAGTTGGTCAATTACTTAAGTCTGTCAGGGAAATAATATAGTTTTGATCATTTTATTCTCATATACTAAGCCCTCTCACAAATTTCATCTTAGATGTGAAGGGACCTTAGTTTGATTCCGTCCGAGGAATACCAATGCCTAGGTAGATACTAGTACGTCGGTGGTGGCACAGTGGTAGAATGCTCGCCAACCACGCATGTGATCCGAGATTCGATCCCCTGCCACAGACGCACTCCTTAACATCGCTAAGCCATTAATAAGGCTGGTAAAGAGGGAAGGTTGGGCTTGAGACTAGCAACCCCATCGCGTAAAAAATAAACACCACTGCTACTGACACTTCAAGCCTCTAGCTTGAAGCCACCCTATGCTTCACTGGGAACGTCAAGGAATAAAAAAACAGATAGATACTAGATGGCACCATTATGTGTTCAGTCGTGTTAAATTTGCCTTATACTTTAACCCCTTAGTGTAATAATTGTAAGCTATACCAATTTATACATTGAAGTAATCAGCTATTCGGTGAACCTGTTAATAAACAGTCGACGTCAGCGGATTTGAGTTGCACGTTCGAGAATGACATGGCGGAAATCATGCGAGGAGGAAATGAAAGCTTATAGGCGATTGTGGAGCTGATTAAAAAATGACTACAGAGAACAGGATGAAACGGAGGTGTATTGTTGAAGTTCTATGTTCCACTCAGAACAGATTAGCGTATATATTATGACAAATCATTTTTGATTGGACACTAGTTACTGACTAGTGTCCAATCAAAAATATCCAATAGAGTCGTACAGGAGGTCAATCGCGAGCCTGAATAGCTCAGTAGTACCATCTTTGACTGCAGCACTGGATGACACGGGCTTGAATCTCAGAAGGGACATGAGTTCTTTCAAGGTTGCAGATACGCCTTGCTGGCTGTTGAGTGTCAACTAGCACGGAACCTAGGTGGAGCAAGGCTTCCTGTGGCCGATTGCCTCCAACCATCTAATACGACAAATTATATTTGAATTATGAGAAAAACAGCAAAATAATCAACCTGAACTTTGTGAAAATAAATATCTGCCGTTAACACATCTCGGTCTTCTGTATTATGATTCAACATTTCTTCTTTTTTCTTTCTTTAGAAACTTCACTGTTTTGATGTAAGCTTTTATTATTGCTTCACAGACAACAATACACACACACACACACTATACTGTTGAAATGCACTGATACATAACCATAACCCTATCTCAGTTATTGTATATACGTATATTATTTAGAAACTTGTTTACAATTTTTTTGGATCACGTTTATGTTTATTCACTTTGGCAGTAATGGAACTTGAAGAAAGAGGCTTCTTGTAGCTCTACTTTCATTTCTTCGTAACCATGTGGGATAGTGTTCTCGCACCTTTTTGGACAAACTGCCTGTCGAACGATTGATATACCTATCTCCCCAGGAGCATGAGAGAACTTATAAGCATACATAGAGTTGGTCAACTGCTGGATCTTGTCCGTCAAGTAATTGGCAAACAATAGTATCCAAGAGAGTGCAACTTAGCTGACGATATCCTCACAAGAAGGATTTCACAGTCCCCTGAAAATGACATTCGGTACAACATCCTTGAGAATAGTGCTTTCTAGTTTACCATTACTGTTCATTAGGCTGAAAGACAAAATCCGGCAGTCGACCAGCTCTAATTCTATCTATGTTTACCAGTTTGCTTGCTCCTGGAGAGCTAGATATATCATTCGTTCGATGCAGAGTTTTTCAAAAAGCGTGCGAGAACACTATCCTGCATGGTTGTGAAGAGGTGGACGGTGAGTCACAAAAAGTGCAATAATTGAACATCTAGTCGATACTGGTCACCTTATTTATACAACCTCTTCCTCATAAGACGAAAAATAACCCACCGAAATTACTAAGGAATAAGAAGTTGCCTATTACTTAATTATCACTCATTAGTATAGTGTAAAGTAGAATAAATTTTGGAATAGTAAGGAATATTTATAGCTTAGGTGGATGGATGTGTTTAGTGTTGTTGTTATGTTCTTTGAGCTGCGTGCTTTGTAGTTGCGAAGCTTTTATTTTATTTTTGGACAGCACCTTCAATATGAATTTTATAAACTAGGTATAGGGATTTTCAATGATGTTGAATAGGAGGAGGATATCTAGCAAATAATTTTAACAAGGTTGTGTAGTTCGAAAGTGTTGGTTTTCAGGGATTAGATTGATCGCGAAGTGATTTCAGTTAGAGAACCAGTGTAAACGAAGAATCAGTGAATAGCTGTAACGGAACTAAATGATTCCACCAGGCGTAGGGCACAGGAACTTCATGATACGGAGTGAGTTCGTTGAGCAGTCAGTCGCTGACTTGACTGGGTTCGAACCCTGGTTGGGGGGTCTTGGGTGTGTTGTACTGATGTGGAGTCCCAAGTAGGGATGAAACGACTATCCAGTACTTCCTTGTTTTCAATGGTTCTCTAACTAAATTCACTTTTTATGATCAATCTTGTGTAATTTTGATTTATAGCTATGGATTCTTGTGAACATTTAATTTAATTTTGTGCGCGTGTGTGTGTAATGATAATTGACGATATGTTTGAATTTTTTAACTTTCACTGAATGGGTCACTTACGTTGGCTTGCACAGCTTGGCAGTAGCGTTTATCCTCACATAATAAGCATAACCAGTTGCTTAGTTGTTTATGTACATATGTATTCGACGTATGTTAGTTACAGCTTAACCTGAGTCAAGTCTTTCAGTCGATTAAATTTGGGGGTTAGTAGAAAACTTCATCCGCCGGTTCTCTCTCTTTCTCACACACAGACACCAAATTATGCCGTATTTCAGCGTATATTTTCTGGAAACTTTCTTTTCTTTTTGATAAATATGGATTTAGTTAGCAATGCAACTTAAACTGAACAAAACTATGAAATGCTTCTTACAACACATATAATGAGAGAGAGACAGGTGAAATGAGTAATCAACAAGCAAGATATTTTAGAACACTGTATCTATTTCATCTTATGCTTAAATTCTTTTGAAGTGATAATATACTCTGAAACTGTCTTATTTTAATGATATTTTAAAATGTATTTCCAAGGATTCCAAAGTAACTGAGGAGGATGACAGTTAATGGAATCCAGGATGCTCATCTAGGATTTGCTAGCTGGATGTGACTACAATCCACGGTGAGTGAAGATGTTCCCACTGAGATTCGAATACAGTACCCTTAATTTCAAACACCAAAGCGTCGTTATCCATTCGACCACTTGGGCTACAGAAATTGACTTAAACGAGATTAATAACTGAACATTGATTTACTTTTCTCAAATGAGTTATAAATAAGATCAAAAATAAGATCTGGATTTTCGACTCCAATGTGAAGTCAGTCAGTGCTACTATACGATTGGATCAGAGACTTGGCCAGCGCGTCATAAAGAGCATCTCAAACAAACTTCAGACCTTCATTAACAGCTGTCCTCACTCATTACTCAAGTTCAGATGGCCTGTCAGAAAAGATCGCCAACAGAGAGGGATCTCTGGCAATGAGCGAACCAACAGAGCAGGAACCAATTTTGAAACAAATAGGCAGGAAGAAATGGAGATGGATTGGCTGGTCATACTCTGAGAAAACAAATCATCAAGTGACATCACTAGACAAGCCATTGTTCGATTGGAACCCGAAAGGGAAGCGGCGAGTTGGTCGTCAGTGCGAGGGTGGGGTGACCTGGAGGAGGTTATGTAAAGAGGAGATGAAAGCATGTGGGCAGACTTGGAGCGGGGTGAAAATGTTGGAAGAAAACTGAAGGCAATGGAGACTTGGGTGGCTGGAGCCCTATATTCCTCTAGGAATTAAAGGATATAATAATAATAATTTGAATGAGTTATAAATATACGCTATATATATATATATTTCAGTGATTACTTTTTATTGTTTTATTTTGCATATAACACTCTACCTTAGGATATTGAAGAAGGCCTTAATGAACTATCTGATTGGGATCGGTATGCTGCTGAAACCTATGAAATGTTAGTCAATGTTGAAGGCGGAGGTATTCAAGAAGATGAAGTCGACGACGATGATGAGGATGATGATGACGAAGAGGATGGAGATGAAGATGGTGGTGATGATGATGGTCCTGGTGGTGGTGGCGGTGGCGGCACTGGTGGTGGTGGAAGTGATGAACAAGGCGATTTAGGCGCTGCTACAACGACTATCTCATTATCGAATAAAAATGATAAACTCAGCGGGAAAGATAATACTGCTGGATCTTGTGCACTGGCTAATAAACTTGAAACTGTTAGCAATGATTTAATGGCATTAGAGTCAGCTGTTGGAGCTGGGGATTGAGTGAGTGAGTCACATTAATTTGTGTTAAAAAAATAAGAATGATTAATCTCGAGTTATTTAATGTTGATCACTGTTTTAACAACGTTTTGTTTAAATTAATCCTGGGTAGATTATTACGGCGTCGGTGGCGCAGCGGTTAGGGCGCTTGCCGACCATGCACATGGTCTGTCTGTCTGTCTGGATTCAACATAGAACTTGGCACCGAAGTGCAGCAGTTCGAGTTGCCACCTTCCAAATAGCACACAGAGGTAGACAAGAAGATGAGTGAAGAGAATCAATACAGTCTGACAAGTATAAGAGTGAAACAGAATGGGTAATGGTAGAAAGGAATATGAAAGATTACAGAGACTGAATACATCTGCGCTGGCCATTGACAACGATTTTGAGCCATGTCACCTATTGTCTCCAGCCATTGATTCCTAGAGTTCCGAGGGCCCCAACCCGGAAGTCTGCATCTCCCTCCCTACCTAACTCAGTTTAACTGTCAAGGATTTCATGGATTGATTCCATGTTTTTGTTTGGCCACCACTGGCTCTTTTCCAACCTGCACCTATATCAGCTAGCAATGCCCATCGGGGGAGGCGGTGGTTAGGCATGCGCTGCACGTGACCTAGCCATCTTAGTCTATGTAACTTTATAGCCTCGTCGATTGATTTTCCCTGTTTGCCTGCCCAACACTCTACGCCTAACGTCAACATTACTTACCTTATTATACCACCACCTAACGTGAGACAGAGATCGCAGACATCTATGGTCGAAAGCAGTCAACCTTTTCATGTCTTCAACGCGTATTGGCCATGTTTCAGAGCCATAGAGAAGGATGGAGCGAACTGCTGAGCAGTACACACGTCCCTTGGTTGATAACCGGATGTCACGCCTACGCCAGAGATGGTGTAAGTCAGTGAAAGCAGCTCGAGCTTTTCGGATCCGTGCTGAGATTTCATCGCCAATCAGTCCGTTGGTGCACATGGTCCGGGGTTCGATCCCCGGCCGACTCACTCCTTCACCTCGCTAAGCCAGAAACAGTGCTGGTAAAGAGGAAAGGTTAGGCATGAGGCAAGCAAACCCATCCTGTAAAATAAACACTGCTACAGAAACTTCAAGCCACTGGCTTGAAGCCCTATGTTCCACTGGGAATTAGAAGGAAAAATTACTTATTATTATTATTTAGATTATGTTTAGGAAAATATTCAACTCAATGCAATGGTTCGTAATTCCACAATGAGATGTATGGATTTATTAAATAGGCTGTTTATGATGCATTTGGCTGCCCTTAGACCTGATTAGTAAAAGTGCAGATGCATTCACTCCTTTTGCAAACTCCTATATCCATTGAACCCTGTTGTTTTTCCATGTTACTGCTCTTTCTGCTTCACATTTTGTGCTTACTATTATAATATTTCTTTTGAATCTGGTTTCCCCTCCTCCCTTTCTCTACCTTTGTGGGTCATTTAGAATGTACGCACCCACCGGGATTCGAACCCAGGACCTTCTGGTTACAAGGCGAGCGACCTCGTAGATCATTAAGCCACTGGGATCCGATCCAATGGACAGCCCATGAATTCTAACTTCTTCCAATGCACCCTACTGGTCACGACTTTTCACTGGAACCCCAGGTAACTACCTACCTGAGTAGGGCAAGTTACTAGTGAGCATCTCATTGATATTCAAGTATCGGTTTGTAGGGATTTGGTTGATTGGTTACAGGTTTTCACTATGAGCTGAACCCAGGACCTTCTGGTTCGAATCCCAGTGGATGAGTATTGATGAAGAGTCTCAAGCTAGGACGAAACAGCTGTCCAGTACTCCTAGGTTTTCCAGTGGTTCTCTAACTAATGTCAGCTCATGATGAAATCCTGTAACCAATCAACCAAATCCCAACAAATCAACACTTGAACATTTAGAATGTGTCAAGTTGAAAGTAGAATGTCAATAAGTTATAGCTTCACTATTTTGTAAAGTATAGAAGGATATATTTGTATTACGACATGTTCTATTAAAACACAAACTCGGTATGTTGTAGGCACCAAGAGATGCGCCACACAAGATCTCAGATTTTGTGCGGGATACTGCCCGGACGCTGAGACTGAAGTCAACCTTGTGACTGTAAGTCTGATCCTCTAAGAGGCGGTGAAGCATTGTCAGGGGCTGCTTTTCCAAATTAGATTGATACACCATTAGATCCATTAGAATTTTGGAGCCCATGTACACACCATAGGTTTGGAGTCTGGGTCTATTTCAGCTTTCCTAGGTAGGCCACCATATGCACCGATCTGGCTGTAAGCGTCAGACATTCTCTAACACCCGTTTATTTTTATTAGGAATACCCCCGCCGCATAAATGCAGTCGATATGATTCAATTGACAGAGACTATGGACACGTGAACTCATGAGAGTATTTCGAGAAGAACATCGAAGTCTGTAGACTCTCAGCCCTACCAGGTCGTTTATGTATTACCAAGTTGAACAGAAACGTAAATCAAATATACAACACTTCTTATGACTTTGTTGATAGCCTTTCTAACATACTGTGCTTCTGATCAGCATTGTTGGCTCATTAATATTAATATGTAGTCATGATATTAACAACACTTTAGTTAGTAGTACTGTAACAACAGAAGACAAGGGCCAGGCAACAGATCGTTTTATTATGAAAATCAACACGTATTTATACATATTTCACATACATTATTATAGACAAGCGCAGTCATCTGATTGGTTGTTTATCAGAGGTTAGGCAGACAAACGCAGGCTTCTGATTGGTTGTTTCGGGATTCCTCGACAAATAGAGTTCTCTATCTGCGAATCATATTTTGCCACGTTAACTTTGCTGTGATTGGTTGTTGAATCCGCCTTGTTCATATTTTCTCACGGCCCATATTAACGTAGATTATTGTCAACCAATCGGCTAGCAGCCTGCTCTCACCACAGTACTACTATGTTACATACAATGTGTTGTGAACTAAGCAATTTGTGAATTTTAAGAAATGTGAGCGTGTTCAGATGCTTTTCTTAGTATGATCGCTTCATTCATATATGGGAATTAATGATGATGATGATGATGTTGTGTACTCGTTGAGTAGTTAATAGTCCTGACGCGGAAAGAGGGAAATCAGAAGACCGCCTTGTTCACGATGATACTTGTATTTTCCAGACAAGGAAAATAAATGTCACACAAGAGTGTGAGTGAAATTGTACGAGTGTACGAAATGTGTGTGAACAACAATACAGCACAGAAGTATATATGAAAATGGCTAATACACATGAACCAATAAGATAGTCATCTTAACATGATTGGTTGTAATGTCATGTGATAATAAGGTCATACATGCTTATTTAGTTAGTGGACAGACAAAAGCATATTATTAGTTATAATGAAATATCGATCCATATACACATGGCAAAATATAATAGACTGTCAAAAACAAAACACACATCATGTGGATACATATCAGATGATGATACTTTTCTCGCACAAGTTGAACGACAATTATTTCCAAATTTTGAAAGCTTGTTAGAAAAACCGAGTTTTAATTACAAATCAGCATTATTTTTATTATGCTAATCAAATTAAGTATATGAATATATATAAGCCTAGACTCACAATGAAACTATTTCGAAATCACATCCATTCATAGAGGAGACAGTAATTTCTTTTTTATACTAGGAAAGTTCATCCTCTCTAGGCCTAAACATAAAACTCTGACTGAAAAGAACAGCGTTAATGCTGTCCGTTGAGCAAAACGTCTGCGCTTCTGTTATAGTCTACTGATGATGATATATTAAGTAATAGTGTTGGTTTGTGGCTTTGATACCGAAAAGCAATAGGCAAATATTGACAACTAATCTATTCACCCCCTCCCTGCTTAGACCACGAAAAAAATGAAGACATAACAGATTATTGATGCATGCCGATGAGAACAATTCAGTGTGATTATACACAAATATTACCAGTCTCGGGAAGTTTAACCAAGAAATAGCTAATTAATGACTCACTACAAGATGAATTTGATTAAAGTTCTAGTGGGGGAAGTTGTGATCACTCACCTATAACATTGGCCGATGATTGCTGCATATTTAAAATTAGCAGAAGTTAGAATTAATGAACTATTGGATTGATCGGGTTCCAGTGACTGAATGGTATCCAAGTTGACCTTGTAATCTGAAGGTCCTGGGGGGTCTTAGTGCGTATTGATGAAGAGTCCCAAACGAAGATGAAGCAGTTGCCCAGTACTTCCTGACTTTCAATGATTCTCTAGCTGTAGTCACTTCGTGCCCCAAATTGAAATCAATCAAATCCCAGTAGACTAACACTTGAAAGTTGTAAACTGTTTGCTTGAATTGGAGCTTCTAGGTTGTCCAGTCGCATTGCGATGAATCTCCTACCTTAACTAAATGATCTGATCCCATCTAAGCCTGTTTCAACTGGTTTTTTTAATACAGCTTCTCAATACATTTATGGGAATAAAATCTGTGAGTATAAGACTTTGCAGCAATAGCAGCATACACCCACCGAGGTTCGAACCCAGTATCCTGCTGTTACAAAGCGAGGTCGTGGGCCATTGAATCACTGGTACCCGATCCAAAGGCGCATGGATTTCAACTTGCACCACAGCGAGTAGGTGTGGTGAAGAGTCCTGAACTGGGACGAAACGGCTTTCCAGTAATCTTTAGTTTTCCAATAGTTCTCTAAGTGATGTCAGCTGGTGATCAAATCCTTGCAAATCAATACTTGAAAATTACACATTTATAGGTTCTTTTTGTTTGCAATCTAAGAATATGATTTCCTGCATTTAATATTTTTTCATTGTTTTTCTTTTTCTTTTTGTGTGTCTGTGTTTGTGTGCGCGCATGTGTGTGTGTATATAGATCATCTGAATTTTTAAAAAGAAAACTTTTGAATCGAGAGAAAAAGTAAAGCACAAACAAGAAGCATTAATCAATCAATCAGTCATATCAACACTCGAATTTCAATTGATGATATTTTGATATTAGTGTGAGATGTGCAGTAATTGTCGGTGTCTGTCTTCTGACCTGTGATTTATCCAAATCGAAGAAGAATAAGAACAATAATAATAATAATTCATACTCAATCATCGACCGAGTCATGAAAAGAGTGACAAAAATAACACACTGTTCTTTTGTTTTATGGTTTTTTTGCTCTTATTAACAACGATAATTTTATGAAGTGAGAGAGAGAGAGGGAGAATATCCATCCACACTACAATTTTTCTTCTCATATGTACAAAATATTACATCATACATTTTTGATTTTCTGCAGTTTCCAAAAATACAAAATTCGCTTTTACACACACTCTCTCGCTTATTTCATTACCATAACTACTGCTATTCTCATCATCTCGAAATGTGTGTGTGTGTGTGTGCATGTGTACACGAGAGTGCTCAAAATGTTTCAAAACCATCACCACCACCACCACCAACACTGTGCTATTTTGTATTTTGTCTGTGATATATATATGTATACATACATGTGTGTATATTTTTCTTTTACCCTGCTACACCATCTATTTCTATATGCCTCTTGAGTTGTTTTCTCTCTCCTTCTCCACTTCTTCTATTTTAGTTCGATTTTTTGGTGACAAAATGTTAGTAGTTTTGTGATTTTTAAATACTAAGGTAGGTAGGCAAGTGTAGTCTCAGATACACGGAAGAATTGAAGTGTTGTGGAATAGTCAGTCTCATAGCGCGCAACTCATTTTCTCATAGTCAAAGTAAGGCAGTTATTTTTGGGGTAGGTGATGAGAGTGTCTACAAAAATCGTGTGTTTTACACACAAACGAAAGATTTTTTTTACTGTTCTGTTGGAAGGGGGGGGCATTACTGTGTGTATATCAACTCTGTGTGTATTTAATTTCTAAGAAATGAGGGAATATAATAAGTAACTTTTAACAACAAAAAAAATGTTTAAATGATTTCCGCCTCCCCTCCTCTGCTCCGCCTCTTTCCCAGATGTGAAATAATACCCCCCCATCCACCCCCCACCACAGTCGAAGCTCGCCGACAGCATTTTTTTAAAGGGGAAGTCAAGTTTTACTTATTCCTCTTTGTAATTTTGGTTGTCTCCTTTTCTTCAGTCTTCCTGTATCTTTTTCAGTTATAAAGCGTAAAACGATGTTGAACAGCGAAATTTCAAGTGTACACTATGAATCGAGTCGAATTCTGTATGTATTAGCAATACACACATATATATGTATGCAGTTTATAAACAGACATTCTCTCTCTCTCTCTTCTCTTCCCACTCATTGTTTATTAACCACAACTAATAGTCTGTAAGCAGCATAGAAATCTTTCATCAGTTGTATCCATATTACCTAATTCATCCATCGTTTTTTTTCTCTTTCTTATTCGATGTGTTGTTTATTATTGGGACACATCTGAAGAGAACTCAATGCTCGCTGTCTTTTTTTTCTTTTTAAGAACAATTTTAATAAAAAAATGTATGCCAATCCACGTTATCCGTCCATCCTGTTTATTTTAATCATAGGAGAATGTGATCAAAACGGATGACACAGGTGTAAGTCATATACATACACAAACAGGTTGAAATTTTGTGGTCTTTCCAAGAAGAAGAAGAGGAAGAGAGAAGAATTTTTTCAACTAAGTAGTCTTCCGTCGTTACTTTCTTCCCTTTCTCTCTCTCTCTCTGATGTAACTGCTTTATCACTATTATCATTATTATTATTACTATTATTATTTACAATTATACACGGAAGCACAGTCAATTAGTACAAATTTCTGGTTCACTTTGTATTAATTTTCAAAAAAGTATGTATGTATGTATTATTATTATTACTATTGTAATAACAGTTATGACTTTCCTACTTGCTTGACTACACACACATCCTGCATCGTTAAGATCCATAGGTTAAACTGTTTTTTGATGCGCTTTTATTTTGAGGAAGAGGCAAACAAAGAAGAAGAAGAAGAAATACAATGAATAATAATAAAAAAAACCATCCAGTTTTTACCTCTTTCGATTATTCGACCTATTTCTGTTTCATCTAAATTATATATAAGATGGTGTGTGTATGTGAGATCAGGTGTAGTATATAGAATTATGTTGCGGTTGTTGTGGAAGTTCAAGAAACTATTATTCTGCGTATATATTTACACAAGTACCTTTGTATACTAGTGCTAAGTATTCTTAACATAATAAGAAGTCTGACGATATCCGCTTTTGTACATTTATCTATCATATTAAGGTAAAAATTCCACCGAAACCGTTCATTTTGTCATTCTTCTTCCTGTTATATAGAATGAGTTGCTTTTACTTTATTCAACATAATTAGTATATAAAGTAATTTGGTGGATGGTGAGTGACAGTGGAATCCTGGACACGTATTTCGTCCCATTTAGGACTCGTCATCCGGATGTACCTGGCTTCTCCAGTGAGTGATAATGTTTCCACTGAGACTCGAACCCAGTACTCATAGTCAACAGAGGTCGGGAACTTCGCTCCAATCAATCAACGAGAGAGTCTAAATTCAATTAAATAATTGATACCTAGACACTTTTCAAGTATTGGTTTTGTAAGGAATTTTTTCGTTTGATTGCTGACATCAGTTAGAGAACCACTGGAAAACCTTGGAGTACTGGACAGCTGTTTCGTCAGTCTGGTTTGAGACTCTTCAGCAGTACGCACGCAACCCACTGGGATTCGAACCCAGGACCTTCTGGTTACAAGGCCAGCGAGCTCGTAGACCATTGAGCCACTGGGACCTGATCCAATGGTCCTTGAATTCTAACTTCTGCGAATTCACGACATAGCGCGACCGCTTCGCAATGTCTTCTTCGATGAGTTACTGCCTCATCTCCAACCTGCTGTACCCTACTGGTCACGCTATATCGTGAATTTGCAGAAGTTAGGATTTAAGGACCATTGGATTCGGGTCCCAGTGGCTCAATGGTCTACGAGCTCGCTGGCCTTGTAACCAGAAGGTCCTGGGTTCGAATCCCGGTGGGTGCGTACTGATGAAGAGTCCCAAACTAGGACGAAAAAGCTGTCCAGTACTTCAGCTCATGGTGAAATTCACCTAAACACTTTATCCTGGTTACATTTCTTACATAATAATATAGGAAATCTCTGTTAAATATCGGATAATATCAGCGGCAGATGTTTCACTTGTCTAATTTAATCGTCATTATTATGTTCGGTTCATGTGTCTGCTAAATTCCTTACAAGTTTAAAGATACTGATTAAGGTAGTAGAGCGTGTCTTTCACTTCACTTATTCGGAAAGTTGAATCAGCCCCAAAATACGATTGCTGACAAAATCTCAGTACGGATTCTAAAAGGCTCACGTGAGATTCGTCAGCTTACACCATCTTTAGTGTAGACGTGATACCGATCGAAAGACGTGTGTACTGAGAATCAATTCACTCTGTCCTTTTTTATTATTGCGTGGCATAATCATTTGAAATGGAAGCATACGAAAAGGCTGACTAGCTGTGTTTGATCATGGGCATCTCAGTTCTATCTCTCGTGTTAGGTGGTAACGTAGGGTGAGTAATACTGATGTTAGGCATCGAATGTTGTGTAAGGATGGGAAGTCAATCGATGAGGTGAGGAAGCTACATCGATTGAGATGGCTAGGACATGTGTTGCTCATGTACAGGCCACTGACATCCATGAGGAGCAATGTTGGGTGAGATAACATTATTCCGGAAAACAGCTAGTAGTGGTCAAAGCAAAACATGGAATCAGTTCATGAAATTTTCGATACATACGTTAAGCTACGTAGTGAGGTTGAGGCTTCGTAGTTGAGGTCCTCGGGATTCTCGGAACCAGTGACTGGAGACTATTGATGATGTAGGTCAAAATCGTTTTCAGTTGCGCAGATGTCTTCACTCTCTGTGACTTCCTGTATGCATTAAACTCATGTTACTACTCTTCTCCCTCACATTTGTGCTTACTTTCACTCTTTTTACTATCTTTGTGTGTTATACGGAGTGTGTCACCTTGAACTGGTGCACTTCTGTGCATGGATCTATGCTGAAACTCAGTCAGTAAGGTAGAAATATCGATAGTTTAGTTCACTTGACTTGCATACTCTTATATTTTGCTGAGAAAATAAACATCTTAACGTGTGGTAGAATTACAATGCATGTTCGTCTTCTGAGTATAAATGAAAGTGCTATGCAAAAACTAAATTGATCGTTGACAAATCAATCATCATTATTATTATACTGTTATTAATCCATTGGGTTCTGAGTGGAACATAGGGATTCAGAAGCACATCTCCATTTCATCCTGTTCTCTGTAGTCTTTAGCCACTGGCTCCATGATTGCTGATGAACTCTCATTTCCTATTCATATGGTTTCCTCCATGTCCCCCTAGAATGCCCAACTCATTGTTTCCCACTCAAATTCCACTTGAAGGCCTGATGCGCTATTTCACCCTGTGTTTTCAGTTTGTTTGTATCCGACCCATCTCCATTTCCTTTTGCATATTTAATGGGTAATAAATAAGTTCATGGTTGGTTTGGTCGCCAGAGTTGCTCGTTGTTGATCCTTTTTGGCCGGCCATCTACTCTTCAGTATCGAGCTGGTGAAGGCAGCTGTTAATAAGAATCTGCAGTCTGTTACAAATGCTCTGAATCTTGTTCTTTAGACGTAGTGCACTAAATTTCCACACTAATTTCAGCCTGATGAGGGTCTCTCTTGCCTTCCTAATCCTAGCTTTGACAACCTTGTCTGTGATGCCTGTAGTTGAGACGATGTCACCTAGAAAAGTGAAAGAGGTGACTTCCATCAAATGTCTTCCGTAGACAGTGGTGGGCGCTTGTCGTTATTGGTTGGTTGAGTAATCTCATCACTTGTCTTCTCTGTGTTCACATGAAGTTGTGTCTCCGCTGCTGGCTTCTTGTAACAACTTGTTGGTTTTCGCCTTTAGATCGTTGAGTTCGCGTGACATTGGACATAAATCGTCCGTGAAGTCCAGATCTTCTAGAGTCTTCTTGTCAGTCTAACGTGTGTCTTTCTTCTTCCATCCCACTCTCTGTTTCATGACCCAGTCCATCACAATCAGGAACACCATCGGCGATAGTGGGCAGTATGACAAACTGATACATCTTTAATGTCATGAACGTGATTTAAAATTTCCTAGTGCTATTATGAAAGCGTTGTACTGTTCAGTCCAACATTTATTTTCCCCCACATATTCTTCTCATTTGATAATGAGATTCAAAAGCTGCGTTCTGTCCTCATTGAAGTATAGTAAAGAAAAAGTCGATACATCCAAGTGCTGTATAGAAGAGTATTCATTTGTGTCCTATATATATATATATATATATATATATATATGCAATATTAAACACTATTCCGAACAATAAGATTCATACACAATGGAAACTTTTAGCATTTCGCATTCGGAAGAAAGAGAGGTGAAAATATCCAGCTACTAGGGCAAAGAAAGACTGATAACCGCTTCTTTCTAGACGCATAAATCAGGTTTTAGGCGTGCAAGTATGTCAAAATTGTTTTTGTAGATATATTTAATAATGTCTTTGCCCTGTAAGCAGCTGACGAGAAGGCAACAAAATAAAAGATGGTACCATTTTATTCTGCTAAAACTGTAGTTTTTGCTTTGTTCAAATTTACTAAGGGGAATAAATGCATGAAGTATCAAAAACGATTGACAAGAGAATGAAAGGAGCAATAAAAAGATGCTTCCCTTTAGCCAAGCTCGAGCATCACATGCTCTTTATAAGCCTCTCCAAACTGGATAAGTATCCTACTTATGGGAGCAAGTGCATTGGAAAGACATACAGAAGATCTGCTATCCAGCTTTCAGAGGATATTCCAAGAAACTTATACCTAAAAGGAAGCAGATATTCGCAAAGTGCAATTGCCAGACACCTTATGCATACGGGTCATTTCGTCGAAATTTCTAAATCCTTCAAAATACTTAACATACAAAGGACAGTCAATTTACCACGATTTCCTGAAGCAGTTATAATCAAGCAATTCAAACCAAACTTATGCACACAGAAAGAGAGTGTAATCAGCCTCTCACTGGCTCGGTAACTGCGTTTTGATTAGTCATCCACATATTAGAGATTTCAGCTCACTGAGCAAGTTTCCTATTTTTCAAACTATAACCACCTTCTTGAGTTACTATGCAAACCTAGATGCTAAGACTGTTGATTAGATTCTCCTGTTTTCTATTTTCTCGTCTCTCCCCACCCCCACCCATCTTTTTCTATTTGGAAAGCATATAAATTGATGGTAACGTGAACTGTAAAAGGGTAGGTAATGCGTTAATTGTATAATGTTTTCTCTACTACTCTTTAAACATTGAAGTAATAACCATTGTAATTTCAGGTAGTATACAGCAACTGATGAAAACCTGTGAATTAGAGTCATGGTATCATTTTAGACTGGAAATCTAGTCTTTCTTTCTTTCTTTATCGAAGTAACCAAATTACTTTAGCCATATGAATTTACTCATAGACAAGAAATTTACGGCTTATTAACTCGAGAAATATGGACTCTCACAAAAATATCATACACTTTGGCTGATTATGTTTTTATTTATGCAATCTTATGCAATGTGTAACGCGCTAAAAAAAGTGAACTTATTCCTTTATCTTCGTGGAGTTATTCCATAATAAATTTTAGATTTATACACTGTATTTTTCTATGAATTTTCACTTGTTTGTTATGCTAGTGTCAACTGTGATACCAGGATAAGCTATACCAGGGTGATATTGTATAAGTGTCTGTCCAACTTTAAGATGCCCCATAACATGTTTAAAGAATACTGTTGATGTACAAACCTCACTGTCTTCTCCTACACCTCATTACTAATATCATAAATTATTATAGCAGTAGTTTCATAATAACAAGAACAAACTACATTTGTCAATTTTGTTTTGACTGTGATTGAGCAGAAATATCCGACTGGTTGGCTAGTGGATAAGAAGACTTTGGCGTTTGAAACAGTGGGTGTTGGAACACTCCATCACTCACATTTGGGGACTGCATGTGTAACAACATAAGACACGGGCCGGCAACAGATCGTTTTATTACGGAAATCAGCACGTATTTATATATATTTCACATATATTATTATAGCTTATTCAAGTAGACAAACGCGGTCTTCTTATTGGTTGTTCCTCGGAAGTTAAGCGGACAAACGCCGTCTTCTGATTGGTTGTTCTCGAGTTTCTCGGAAAGTGGAACCATCTATCTGCGAATCGTATTTGCCCACGTTTAAGCCTGCTGTGATTGGTTGTTGAATCAGCCTTGTTCATATTTTCTCACGGCCAATATTAGTGACCTAGACATTGACGTAGATTAATGTCTACCAATTGGCTAGCAGCCTGCTCTCACCACACAGGTATACAACCAGTTAAAACGAACGAGTCTAACCAAATAGGATGAAATCTACAGCCTAGATTATACTACTAGTTTCTATCCCCAGAACAAAATAAGAAGGAAATCAGGATTTTTCGAGAGAAAGATTTATTATTTGTAATCAAATAGTAGAAAAATATACACACACATCCCACAGTTAGTAAACAGTAAGTACTTGTACAGTGATGGATGATGATACAACTAGACGACAGTATTGTTTACTTTTAGCCTTTTATAAGTTGAATTACTGATGTCAAATATTTTCATGTACATCATATCAGCCATAAATTACGTGCTCGAACAGCTTCAATACGTACAAATCTGTTAGGATCATCAACGAGTTGATCAAGTACAGGTAGGACGGTGATATCACGATGGCGATTAACTACTTGTTCAGGCAGTCGGATAAGATTGTTTAAACATCGTGCAATTGTCAGACGAATATTAACATCCTTGTTAGTATGGAAAGAAAAACAATAATAAGAAATTGGATGGTTTTTTTTACAAGAAAAATGACGTTATACTGAATTTGAACCAGTCTAGTTTATCAAGATTATCTAACGATATTTAGATTACGGGTTGAAGATACGGAGTAAAGTAGTAGAGCGTGTCTATCACTTAACTTATTCGAAAAGTTGAATCAGCCCCTAAAGACCGATTGCTGACAAAATCTCAGCATGGATTCTGAAAGACTCACGTGGGATTTCGTCAGCTTACACCATCTCTGGCGTAGATGTGATACCCTTCTGGTTATCGATAGAAGGACGTGTGCACTGAGAATGAGTTCGTTGTGTCCTTTTTTATGATTGTGTGACATAATCATTTGAAATAGAAGATACAAAAAAGGCTGGCTAGCTGTGTTTGATCATGGGCATCTCAGTTCTATCTCTCGTGTTAGGTGGTAAAGTAGGGTGAGTAATACTGATGTTAGGCATCGAATGTTGTGTAAGGATGGGAAGTCAATCAATGAGGTGGGGAAGCTACATCGATTGAGATGGCTACTGAATGCGTTACTCATTCCTAGGCATCGCATTCTCTGTCTAGAGATATTAGGTGATACACGGTCAGGTTGGCAAAGAGTTAGGGGTAATAAAACCCAAAAATGACATCCCTGTGTGAAATATTTGACTGTTGGTTTGAAGAACCTAGTGAAATGTAGACTGGCTAGGCTTTTCAAGATGGTAAGAGGCAATGTCTGCAGACTGCGATATGCCTCTAAATCGTTTTCAGTGACGCGTATGTATTCACGCTTTAGATTCATTATAGCCTCATGTTTCCCGATGTTATTTACTAGTTTTTCCACATATTTCTGGTCATTATTGTTCTTGAAATCCTTCTTTTTCTCTTCCGTTTACCGTTGTATGATACACGGACTGTGACAAGTTGAACTGGCGCACTTCTATGCATAGATCTGGACTGAAACCAGTCAATCAGATTACGGGATTTGAATTAATTTCAGTTTATTAGATTGCATCGCGAACCGATATCAGTTAAAAAGATCACTGAAAACTTTGGAGCACTGGGCAGCTGTTTCGTTCTATTTTAGAACTCTTCAACTCGTGATCAGTCCTCTAACCGATAAAATCCCTGCAAGCCAACATTGGACTATTCTTGGTCTATTATAGACATATAGAATTGTAGAACCTTATTGAAGAAGAAGTTATCAAAATGAATACTCTTTGTTCAATGGGCATGTTTAATCAATTAGAAAATATCGTGTAATTATTTATACATACAAAGTAATTAAAAAAGAATAAAAACATACCTCTTTACTTTTAGATGGTATTTTCTCCATTAATTTTGGTAATCGACCAAAAATATCATCAGCTTGATTTTGTGAGATTAAACTGCATAATTCAGAATTTTGACTGGCTTTTTCACTAACGACTGATATGAAGTGTAAACCAGCAAGTTGAGTTTTAGTTTCATCAAGTGATGTGATGGCGTACAAAGCGAATGGGATTGCCTAAACGTATAAAATACAATTTATATACATATGTGGTGATAGTAGGCTGCTAACCAATTGGTAGACATTAATTTACGTCAATGTCTATGTCGCTGGTATTGGCCGTGAGAAAATTCGAACAAGACTGATTCAACAACCAATCACAGCAGACTTAACGTGGGCAAATACGATTCGCAGATATATGGCCTAACTTTCTGAGAAATCAGTCACAAGCAGTACAGAATAACCTTGAGCAAGAAACAACCAATCAGAAGACTGTGTTTGTCTGCTTGAATAAGCTATAATAATGTACATGAAATATATATAAATAAGTGCTGATTTCCTTAATAAACGATCTGTTGCCTGGCCCTTGTCTTCTGTTGTTACATATACACATATATATTCATCATCATTCAATAACCTGAAGAGTTAAAATATTTACCGTATAATATTGACAGATATATATAGCATGATGTAGTTTCTTTCGTACATTGACCTTTAAACTTTAATACGGTGTGTGTGCATCAAATATAACAATAATGAGAACAATTCAGATTTGTGAGAAATTTGGAAATAATTTTCAACTCTTAGATTTCCGTCAAGCACCAAAATCAGTTAGATTGATCATTGAAAACCGGAGAACACTAGACAGAGCTGTTTTGTTCTATTTTAAGACCAGAAAGGTCTAGTATGTGTCAAGCTGAGGTGGATACCAATCGGAGACATCGGTAAGTTGGTAAATGTGTTCATGTCACACAAATTAACAAACTTAGAATTCACGCGTTGTAATTTAATTCTATCCCAAGCAGCTGAATAATCAGCAAGCTTGGCTTTTTATAAGCTGAAGACACCACAAGGGTTCGGTCTCTGATAAGTTCGTGAGGTTATGCACTGGTAAAGAGTCCCGAACTATGGCAAAACAGCTGTACAAAGGTTCCTTGGTTTTTATTGATCTCTCTAATAATTGAGATAAAGTTGATGAAAATAAAGGCTCGCTTAGACAAATCTTTACTTTATTCGGGTCTTTCATAACTTTTTAGAAATGCTTTACATTGATGCTCTTGTTTTCTGTATTCCTTGTAATTGACCTTTCTGTAATTTTGTGAAGTGAAGTAATTTCATGAACAGATATTCACACAGGCAAGATGTTACAAGAAATATGAAAAAACAAGTTCGGGTTTCCGTAGTGATTCACTGCTGAACACATATAACACTAATTACCATGTCACTTTTTGACTTACATATCGAATGATGACCCGTGTTAATTCCCAAACTGATATAGGGTGACAAATTTTCCTCAACTCTGGTCAGGGATTGAGATTATCTAGAGAACCATTCACAACCAAGGAACACTGGGCAGTTGTTCCGTCCTAGTTTGGGAGTCATCGGTAGTACTAGGTGGACCCCACCGGGTTTAAAACTCGGTGTTAGGATTCATGGGCTGTTGATTCTAGTCCCAGTGGCTGAATGGTCTACAAGCTTGCCTTGTAACCAGTAGGTCCTAGGTTCAAAAACCGGTGACTGCATACTGCTGATGAGTCCCAAACCAGAACAGAACAGCTGTCCAGTTCTTCCTGGTTGTTAAAGGATCTCTAAATGATATTAGTCTGTGATCAAACTTCAAACAAATCAAACCTCTACAAACGAACTCCTGAAAGAGGACAAATTTTATTTAAAAATAATCCCCACCCTCCAATTTGTAGCAGTGAGTTTCAACAGATGATAAGGCAGCAACCACCCCCTGCCCTATAATACACCAGTTTACTAAGTGGACACGACTAGAACAATAGTGAAAATGAAAGTGAAATGAAAGATCCTAACAACAATGCTTTTTGTAACGTTGCCGTGTTCGCGTATCGACAGAAATAATACATACAACTTGGATATTTGACATTAAACCATGAACTAGAAAATTTCTATGAAGTATTTATCTGGATGACTTCAGAGTTCTTGGTGATCGGAGACAGCGAAATGCATTTTTACGATTTCATGCTACTTGATGCGGCTAATTCCACCAAGAATTCTTCTAATTTTTATACTTATGTTCAAGTGGCGCTCACTTAAAGTAGGGACATTTGCACTATGTCATGGTATCGTCTGTTGAAACGAAATATTTCCGATGAGACATAGACGACAGACAGTATGTAATGGTGGAAGACAAGACACTTGATAACAGAATGTTTATTTACAATATTATATCTCTATATAAGGAAATTGTGTGCATCTTATCTGAAATTCGTCACTTGCACAGATCTTCCGTGTTG